TCTTGTTAGCCAGCCCCCCACCCCCCCCAACTTAATTTCTCTTCATTCAATCAATTACCTAACATGGTTGAGTATGTAGAAAGATTCGTAACATTTAGTTGACAAATCTTTGAAGTATCTAATCTTGTGCATAGCAGCATAGGGTCATATCTTTATCTATAATATCTATTTTTACATATTTTGAAATGAACAAAATGAAAGAGTGTTCTACAATAACTATTTAAGAAATACAGACGTACATTTTCCATTGCCTTGCATAACACTTGCCTTAAATTAACTAGGAGCAGAGAATTGTCTTAGAGAAACATGACACATTAATTCAGAAAACAAAATTAATTAGTTATCTTTGTCTATCTTCATCATTCTCTTTATGCGTATTTTGTATCTATCTTCTATAATCAATAATTAAGTTTTGGGGCATCTTGTCCCACTTGCCCAAAAAAAATTTCCAAGCATTTGAATCCGCCTTGTATTAGCAGGATACACATTGGCATTTAGGACAATAGGTATCTGAGATGACCTAAATAACATTGTATTTCAGATTTGAATATGAATACGTTATACGTGGATGGATATAAGTGTAATAGTTTATTTTGTCAAAATACTAAGGGTGTGTAAGCTGTATTATACCTTGCTACTGTAAGTAATTCCTTACATCTACTCAACTTTTGGGTGATTTATACTAATTGCCACTATATCTTGGGGACATAAACTTGCTTATTTACATATATAATTAGTTGAGATATTCTGTTTTCTTATAACCTAAACCTAATTAGCTTCTGTCCATAATGAAGATTCTATCATTGACATGAGAAATCCCATGAGCATTAATCAATAGCTTAGTTTATTGAATTCATACATTTCTTCCGTTTTGTTTCTTAGCTCATATGCATGCCTTAAGCGCGTGTAACTAGTTTACTCTATACATGAGACAAAATCTCATTCAACGCTAAAACTATATATCTTTTTTTTTATCTCAGCATCCGAGCAACTCTTGCTAAACTATAATCTTTGTCACTCTAATCTAGACTAGATTTGACTAAACACTAGGAAATATCTAAAAGGTAAGGACCATCTAATATCTTAATTTATTATTATTATTATCATTATTATAATTTGTAGGAAAATGATTATTATTCAAATGAGAAAAAAATCTAATTTTCTAACCTGTTAAATTAGTTGTCTTATTCCCATGGGCTGCGGCCTCATGCTAAGTCAAATAGTCCACGTGCAAGTCACATGCCGTGCGGCCATCCTTACAAAAAAGAACGAGCGAAATATGGCACTTGGAAGATTGTTCCATGTGACCATGGAAGAGAATAGAATATTGTCATCATTTGCAGCTGTAGGTGATATATCACTGTAACTAGTAGGACCCTGCCCCAGGGGTGCATTCAGTGCGAATACGGCTCAGATATAATACTTATCATATTTATACCCACTTGCACATCTCGGATACAGATATGAATACAGATATACCTCGGTAAAGAAGATTTATATTCATATCCGCTAAAATCAGAAACAGTTACGGGGGATATATAAACAGGTATGCATGCGGATACAAAACAGATATGAGAAAATTAGACAGCATGGAAAAAAAACATAGTTCATGTGATATAAAAGAGTTCTTTAATATGTTCATTATAACTGACAAGCTAAGATTAGATATATTGATCATCAAAATTAACTACAAATCCATAATGTAAGAATTAAAACCATCGTAAGAGCATGACTATATGTATTTGGATATTTCAAATACGGATTTGGATATTTTACTACAAAACCATATCTGTAACCATATTCTACCGCTTATAAATTTAAGTAATCATATCTGTATCCGAACGAATACAGATACAGATATTTCTTTAAATACGAATACGATTTACCAACCCTACCCTGCCCCCTTCCTTTTTTTTGGGAATAAACAATATTAGGGCTAGGCTATTTATCGCCAAAATAACAATGAACATAGGAAACACTAAAAGATGCAGCTCGTGCGTGCACTTATCACTTTTCTTCTTGCAGATTTTGTTTACCTAGATATAGATCCCTAGATATAGGTCCCAGGAACTATAAACCTGTGCCTGCTAAACAATGTCAAGTTCTAAAGAAACTTTGAAGTTTTTAATGCCAAATAAAGGACTCGGACGTTCACGTACTAAAAATTATCAACTTTCTTGCAGTCATATTCCATAGATACCGCATTCGCTGCATCAATTCTGGTTAGTTTTATATCATGTACTTTTTACTAAATAGTTTTTTCTCATAGAAATCACCTTAAGGATAGGGTAATTCTATAGGACCCGCATTCAAAATTTTAATTTACAACAGATGGCCCAACGCATTGCCGTTATGTTCATAGATAGCATTATACACATTATTCATGCAAGTTCGACCAATAAAACATAGGCAGCAGAATTTAAAGTCCGTACACAGATACATTGAGAGGGAGAATTGCAGTGGAAAAATAGGGAAGAGAACAAACAGGGACTCTTGCATTCCAATCAACGATACACAAAATGTCATGGAATTATTCATGCAAGTTCGACCAATAAAACATAGGCAGCAGAATTTAAAGTCCGTACACAGATACATTGAGAGGGAGAATTGCAGTGGAAAAATAGGGAAGAGAACAAACAGGGACTCTTGCATTCCAATCAACGATACACAAAATGTCATGGAACATTGCCTTGCATAACACTTGCCTTAAATTAACTAGGAGCAGAGAATTGTCTTAGAGAAACATGACACATTAATTCAGAAAACAAAATTAATTAGTTATCTTTGTCTATCTTCATCATTCTCTTTATGCGTATTTTGTATCTATCTTCTATAATCAATAATTAAGTTTTGGGGCATCTTGTCCCACTTGCCCAAAAAAAATTTCCAAGCATTTGAATCCGCCTTGTATTAGCAGGATACACATTGGCATTTAGGACAATAGGTATCTGAGATGACCTAAATAACATTGTATTTCAGATTTGAATATGAATACGTTATACGTGGATGGATATAAGTGTAATAGTTTATTTTGTCAAAATACTAAGGGTGTGTAAGCTGTATTATACCTTGCTACTGTAAGTAATTCCTTACATCTACTCAACTTTTGGGTGATTTATACTAATTGCCACTATATCTTGGGGACATAAACTTGCTTATTTACATATATAATTAGTTGAGATATTCTGTTTTCTTATAACCTAAACCTAATTAGCTTCTGTCCATAATGAAGATTCTATCATTGACATGAGAAATCCCATGAGCATTAATCAATAGCTTAGTTTATTGAATTCATACATTTCTTCCGTTTTGTTTCTTAGCTCATATGCATGCCTTAAGCGCGTGTAACTAGTTTACTCTATACATGAGACAAAATCTCATTCAACGCTAAAACTATATATCTTTTTTTTTATCTCAGCATCCGAGCAACTCTTGCTAAACTATAATCTTTGTCACTCTAATCTAGACTAGATTTGACTAAACACTAGGAAATATCTAAAAGGTAAGGACCATCTAATATCTTAATTTATTATTATTATTATCATTATTATAATTTGTAGGAAAATGATTATTATTCAAATGAGAAAAAAATCTAATTTTCTAACCTGTTAAATTAGTTGTCTTATTCCCATGGGCTGCGGCCTCATGCTAAGTCAAATAGTCCACGTGCAAGTCACATGCCGTGCGGCCATCCTTACAAAAAAGAACGAGCGAAATATGGCACTTGGAAGATTGTTCCATGTGACCATGGAAGAGAATAGAATATTGTCATCATTTGCAGCTGTAGGTGATATATCACTGTAACTAGTAGGACCCTGCCCCAGGGGTGCATTCAGTGCGAATACGGCTCAGATATAATACTTATCATATTTATACCCACTTGCACATCTCGGATACAGATATGAATACAGATATACCTCGGTAAAGAAGATTTATATTCATATCCGCTAAAATCAGAAACAGTTACGGGGGATATATAAACAGGTATGCATGCGGATACAAAACAGATATGAGAAAATTAGACAGCATGGAAAAAAAACATAGTTCATGTGATATAAAAGAGTTCTTTAATATGTTCATTATAACTGACAAGCTAAGATTAGATATATTGATCATCAAAATTAACTACAAATCCATAATGTAAGAATTAAAACCATCGTAAGAGCATGACTATATGTATTTGGATATTTCAAATACGGATTTGGATATTTTACTACAAAACCATATCTGTAACCATATTCTACCGCTTATAAATTTAAGTAATCATATCTGTATCCGAACGAATACAGATACAGATATTTCTTTAAATACGAATACGATTTACCAACCCTACCCTGCCCCCTTCCTTTTTTTTGGGAATAAACAATATTAGGGCTAGGCTATTTATCGCCAAAATAACAATGAACATAGGAAACACTAAAAGATGCAGCTCGTGCGTGCACTTATCACTTTTCTTCTTGCAGATTTTGTTTACCTAGATATAGATCCCTAGATATAGGTCCCAGGAACTATAAACCTGTGCCTGCTAAACAATGTCAAGTTCTAAAGAAACTTTGAAGTTTTTAATGCCAAATAAAGGACTCGGACGTTCACGTACTAAAAATTATCAACTTTCTTGCAGTCATATTCCATAGATACCGCATTCGCTGCATCAATTCTGGTTAGTTTTATATCATGTACTTTTTACTAAATAGTTTTTTCTCATAGAAATCACCTTAAGGATAGGGTAATTCTATAGGACCCGCATTCAAAATTTTAATTTACAACAGATGGCCCAACGCATTGCCGTTATGTTCATAGATAGCATTATACACATTATTCATGCAAGTTCGACCAATAAAACATAGGCAGCAGAATTTAAAGTCCGTACACAGATACATTGAGAGGGAGAATTGCAGTGGAAAAATAGGGAAGAGAACAAACAGGGACTCTTGCATTCCAATCAACGATACACAAAATGTCATGGAAGGCCAACGACCAATATGAGGGGGGGGGGGGTGAAAGGAATCCACCATATCAACTTCCCTCAATAGAAGCGCATTTACAGATCAATCTCAAGCTTTCTCCACAGCTAAAAACACCTGAACCAAAGCAAATAGATATGCCAATTAAATAGATATGCAGACAAGCTCTTCCACAAAATTGATATCAGGAAAGGAAAAAATCTTGAAAAAACAGAAAAAGGAAACCCACCAAAACTCAGACTACAGAACGCCACCCGCCCCAGCCATGATATGGTCTTCTTACTATGACTGCACAGACCAGGCATTGTATGCCTTCGAGAAATTTCAATAACAGTTATTAACAACCTTAATCAGTTTAAAACTACTTGTCCTAAAAACTCGAATCTCAAGAAACAGAAGTCAACAGATCAACCTCTCGTGACGTTAGAATACTAGAAAATGACAAGACCCACACATTATTAACCGCACCATAAGATGGAAGTGATAATAAGATTACTAAAAAGTGTGAGCATAGGGCAAGGGGTAACTTTTACAAAATACCACATAAAAGAGTTAGGGATTCTCTCAAAAATATACCAAAAAAACTATTTTTATTAGAGAAAAATACCATTAACTAGCATGACTTACAGAGTTAATGTAAATTGCACGTGATATGTGTATGACATATTTCAGACACTTTTGTCCTTCATGCAATTTACTCTCTCACCCTCACTCTTCTTGAATATTTGGGGCATCATAGACTATTTAACAACACCATTAACACTGTTGGGGTAATTTCTGATATAAGGTGATAGTTTTATACAGATTTGAAAGTTGGTGGTGTCCTTTTTTTTCCAAATAGCTATGTAGGGTAATTCAAACCAAGAGGGTTTATGGTCAAGCCTACTACATAAGCTTTCACTACCATGGCGAGTTTCCTTCTCCTTGTGTTCAGAGTAAATAGCATACAAAATAAACTCTAAACTCTCTCATAAAACTAACATCAAGAAAATTATTAAGAAAATTGCTCATGTATATCAAATAATTAAGACCAACAAACCTATGGAACACAAAAACTTTCACAGCCTAAGAAAAAACTAAAATAAAATAAAAATATCTAGCATGATAAAATGAAAGCAGACACCTAAACATCACTAAGTACCAACTGAAAGAAGAGTGGATATAACACAAAAATGCATAGGATCTCAGCCAAATAAGAGATATGTACCTAACATATCTTGGGACAGCCAGCGGCCCAAAATGCTCCAAATCAAAAGCTGAAGATCACAGAGGGCTTAGGAACGGGCTTGTAGGAATGCACATATACATCCAGCTTACTGATTATAATTCCACAAAAAATAAATAAATAAAAATCTAACATCTCAAAGATATCAAAAGAAGAATGTAGGAAAGCACTAACCTCAAGCTGCTTATTCAAATACACTCTCATCTTACATATGTACTTCACTGCCCAAAGTTCATTTCAGAATATCTGATACAATTTATAATTATAAAAAAACATTAGCTAGCAAGCAAGTACAAGAAACAAACAATAGAAATCAACAGAGCATGAAGTAAGATGTCAAGAAAAAGGTGACTTGCCTGCGAGGCTTGTTCTGACGATGCTCAAATACATCATTTACTATCTCTGCAAGAATGACGAGGAACTTCTTAGATTAGAATAAATTGAAATAGACACAAGCGCATGTGAATAGAAAATGAGTGATGAACTGATCTCTAAAATGCAGATGATATATAAGCATTGTTTACCAGGCCTTTGTTGAGGCATTAAAGCATTAGCGGGCTTGGGTGCACTAGTGTCTTTGCTGCAAAAACGACATAGAAGGGAACAGGTATGAATTGCATATCCATTCACAAGTGGGAAACAAAGGATAATAATGCATAGAACACGATCTATGACTATAAGAAGTACTATCATTGTTTTCTATCTCGTCTTCTATCATCATAAGATCAAAGCAAATCAGCATTAGTAAAGTTATCTGTAGTCATATCCTTGAAGACCTCTTCAGAGAAAAAAAGAACTTTGTTTTAGAGCTACGTTTTCAATAAATTTCATGCACTAGTAAGTTCAAATTCCATCTGGATGTAATGATAAAATAATGAAGGAGATATAGAATTAAATCTCATTGAACATCGATATGGTGAAATCATTTGATCCTAAAATATATCAAATAAATCCATATTTCATTATACATGCTGGGAAAAGATAATTGCACCATATAACCATTGCAATTCAATGTTTTGCTCTAATTAGTTGGGATATGCACTAATAACTATATTTGCCAGTCTTTTTAATAAAAGTAATATGCATAATCAGAAAGAAATTTCAAATTTTATAATATCCTCATCCAAGTTTTTTTCTTTACTTCACCAGCTTAACTGTTATCTCTTAACCCTTCAACATAAATGAAAATACCAGTGTTAAACAGGGGCCCCCACGCTGCAACATATGTACATACGCATAGAAATATAGCAGGTCTGCCACCTTGTCCTCAATAAGAGCATTGTAAAATTTTAATATGCACCTGTTTTCTTCACATTGAAGAGATTTGATTGGCAAGTTACAGTGTTTATGTGATTAACTACAATAGTTGACTGTTAGATTCTAGAAGGGGTTGCCAGCAAAAGTATACTTTCCCATTAAGTAACATACTTTTCCATTGAGTAACATATTCATTGAAACTGTTTTATATATGGATTAAGATATAGATAAACTACAAATACCCTTTAGATCCATACTGGTAAAAGATGAAGGCACGTATTGTGGTGAGGTATTGTTCATGTGGACATTAGCTAAAGCCCAAGATGTCCCGAGTAAGTCTGTTAGATATTTTTAATCTTGTTTTCGTTTGTAGTTTATGTAAGGGCAAGAATTATATTATCTTAATTCTTGATGAATATTTGAATTTTCTAAATTTTAGTCTTTGTTGCACCTTCCTCTCTTCTTCTTAGACTTCTTTCTTGATCTCCTGTTCCACTCTCTATCTCCAGTATTGGTCAATGGTCACCCATCTTCCTCTTTCCCAGGCTCCTAGATTCACATCAAAACCAGTAACTATAAACCAAATCCTAACTAGTCATCAGTAAAATAAAAACAGAAGTTATAAAATAGTTTCAGTCACTCAACTATGACATAGAAAACACAGCTAATTTAACCCTTCAAAATCTTATATAGTTATACTGATAATTTTGTCTTGGACCCCATTATAAACCATACTCTGATCTACTTTGTTTAAAACTATATCAACAATATCTCCCTCCACCTTGTTTCTAGCGGCGCACTCCTGAAAGCCTTCACATCCAACCACCTCTTAATTTTGTTTAATCTATTTGCTTGAGCCTTTGACCCACACTATACAACCATAAAAACAGTATCTTCTTATTTCCTACTGCCAATTCCAAGCTTTTCCAATTTATTGACGTATCAAATATTGTCATGTAGCCCCAAGGCATTCATTACATCTACCAGAATGACAGGTGCAGTTCTCTGTTCCACTCAACAAATTGAAAAATATTGCGCTAGTCCTTTTTTTTAACCCTGGGAAACAACATCAGATGCATTGTGAAATGGCAAGGCTATTAGTTTATATTAGGCTTAAGTTCTTCATAATAGCAACCATGAAATAACTAACAGCAAGCACCTGCTCTTGGGTAGTTAACTGGCACATTAATAACAAGTGCAAAGAGCTACATTCACTCCCATGAATAACTGATAACGCAGTTTCTCTGACAATACAGGCAAAGACCTTTGGCCAGTTCTTCGCAGAGGCAATGAGCATTGCATAATTGCATTGCTAAGGTTAATTCCTCAATGTGCTAGATTATCAACCTGTGTGATATCCTCAAGAAAATGTTATCCACATAATGCATCATTTGTTCTTCTAACAAAAGAACTTTACCAAATAAAAAAGTGACATAGGCATAGTTCCCAGAAACATTTAATAGGGCATAGTCTCCAAAGTGATATAAGAGTGGGGGCTTGTGTCCCACTCCTATCTCTTGGCTGGTGTGACGCTAAGGCTAGAACATATATGTCCTTGCAATCAGATCTCAACAAGTGTTCCATTGGGGACAAATCCAAATCCAGTTTGATCCGGTTTCAGATATCAGAGCACGCTACCTGATTTCAGTTAGATTTCAATTCAAATGTCTATACCAACACAAATTACAAAAATGGTTTAGTAAGCACAACAATATTTTTTGTCATGTCAGATACAAACAGTTCCTATTGTCCCTACTTGGTTTGGTTTATTATTGTTCCTAGAGAAGTAGAATTTTGACAGCTTTCCGAAATGAAGGAAACTTTCTTATTTGGTAAAGTTCTTCTACCTTCACATATCACAATATTTTCAGATATATCAAGAAGCTTTCAAATCTATGAGAGAATGGAGAAGGGGAGAGATGTAACAGCCTAAAAAAAAAAGCAATCATATTGTTCCTATGTCGGTGATTTCACCGCCTTACCTATGTCGGTGAAAATTTTACACCGCCTCTCATCAGTATAAAAAGAGGTTGAAAAGGAAAAAATACTCCCAAGAAAAAAAATAGAGGAAAAGAAAAGAGAAAAAGAAGAAGAAGAAGAAGAGGAAGAAGATTAGGGGAAAGGAAGAAGAGAGGAATTTCACCTACAATCCAAGCTCATCCAAAGGTATAAATCATTCTCCTTGATGATTTCTTTGGTTTTAAGGAATTAATGCCTGATTTTTTAAGGAATTGAACAAACAAGATAGTAATAATAGAGAACACTTACATGACCGCCGGTGTCGGGGAGGGCTCGTCTTCGGGTAATCGCTCCGACAGCAAAGCTTGAGCAGCCGCGCCAACTTGGCGCCACAGAGAGAGAGAGAGAGAGAGAGAGAGAGAGAGAGAGAGAGAGAGAGAGGAGAAGAAAGAAACTGGAAAAAAATTGATGAGAAGAAAAGTAACGGGGAAGAAGAAGAGAAGGAGAGAGAAAAAGAGAATAAGAGAATAAAATAGCAAAATTATCTTGGGACCCCTGAAATATTTTTAGTTTGTATATGGGTCCAAGAGGAATAAAAATATCTTTAGGACCCCAAATTCACAAATGAACCTATCAGAGAAATTTAAGATCATATATGGACAGGATAACTTCGTATAGACCCCTGTTATTTGCTTTGTTTACAAATACGTCCAATTTGAAGATTAAGAGATCACTTTTAGGGTGGATTAATTACCCATAACCCCCTGCCTCATCATAAGTTAGAAATAAATCCATATCTACCCTATTTATGGATTTTAAATTGTTAGGGATTATATTTGAAATTATTAACTCTAGAATATGAATTGATTAACTTATAATATGTATTATAGTGAACTAATAATAGTCTTATTATTCTATATTATAGGTTCAGATTTGATATCTGGAAAGTAATGTTTTGAGGAAGCTGTACTCTGTGGAGGTGAGTTCATTTCTCACTAGTATTTTATAATATAAAATTGCATGAGTATTATAATTGATTTATCTTGTGATCAAAAATAAATAATATATCATTTTTATGTATATAAACTTAAAGGTGAATTGATTTACTTTTGTTGTGGCCTAACCCGTAATACGATGTTGATTTCGTATAAGATATGAAAAAAATCAATTTGATTACTTTTGTTGTGGCCTAACCCGTAATACGATGTTGATTTCGTATAAGATATGAAAAAAATCAATTTGATTTTATATGAACTATGAAAAGTGAATTTGGTTCTCATGCGATTTCAAATAATTATGGGAATTGCTTTATTTGAAAGCTTTTGAAGAAAATAAATATTTTGAATGTGCTTCGACAATTTAATTGATTCAAAGAATTTCTGTGACTTAGTATCTGATAAAAATAAAAACAAAAAGTGAAATCCGTGAACTGTTTTAACTGGGACGGAGAGTTTCACCCTCGTACACTTCATTTGAAAGTATTTGTAAATTCTGATAAGCACGGTATTTCTGATTTGACTAGTGATTCTCGGTATTTTTAAACCCTCAAAAGTCCACTATGAAGTGATTCTGCCTGCCATATGATGAATGCACCTTTATTTGGCCCCTCTGTATTGGCCCTTCTAAAATTTATTCTGGCCCCTCTGTTTTGGTTAGTAACCTATGGCAACATTAGGTGCATTTGATTCCCGAAAATTATCTGTTATCTGATGCGTTTTACGCATTCCCATGCTACTGGGCTATAATTCGTAGTCTTAGTGTGACATATGAGATGATTCTTGTGTTTCATGAATTACTAGCCGGAAATGTGAAGCTAAGTACTATACGGGGCTAAGTGCTATACCGTGTGGACGCGATGAGAGCCACCTCTAGAGCCTGTAGAAGCCACCTCTAGAGTTCACATCGCCTGACAGTAATAGATTTGTGATTTTGAGATTTGAGCGTGAATTCGAAGAATACGATTCATCGAGATTTAAGATTTTGACAATTGACTGCGAAATTAAGAAAATAATAGTCCTCTGGTTTTGTACCCAATTTAGTAATTTCTTTTCTTTCTTAATGTTTACCTTGATTTAAAAAGGGTTTGATTTTAGGAAATATCTCAGTTGCACATAAGAAATAAAATATAATTGTTGCATTCTTTCTTGAAAACGACAATATTATGATATTTGGATCGTATTTGGCTATTTTGAATTTTTGATGCAAAACTTATAATTCGTTATTCTGGAAATTATTCTTATTATTAGTTTGTTAGTTATCTAGGAACTCTAGTGGGAAATGTTCTCACCGAGCTCTAGCTCACCCCGTCGTTTTTTATTTTTTTTTCAGATTCGGTGTAGCTTCATACTATCCAAGCTTTTGGTTGTGACGTTTTGCTGAGAGGCGTTATAGGAAATGCCTCCTTTTTGAATGTTACATACAATGAAGAATGTGCTTTATTTTGTGAAATGCTTATGACGGTGAGCTTGTGAGTTGTAAGTACCGATTATATACATATATATAGTTGCTCTGAACTTCTATCATCAGCAGGTTTATGAACATCGTCGATAAACTATGTGGTATGAAGTGTCAGGCTTGACTCGTGCATAAGACTTGTCTCGTGCACGGGTCGCTACTGTCACATACCCCGTATTTATGAATTTCCACTGCGGTTTGGGGGCGTTACAAGAGATGAGAAAAGCTAGTATGTTAAGAGGAATGAAACACATATGAGGTCAGTAACCCACTTAAATTACAAACACCTTTAGTCTATAGCAACCCTAAGTATGAAAGAAAGTTTAAAAGGGCAGTTTACCTAAAATATCCACGAGACATAGCAGAGGCAAAATAACTACTATTTGTCCTTTTTACCCTTTATTTTCTCTAACCTATCAGGTTTCCTCAAGACTATTTGTTAACCGTACACAGGCTTACCGTATTCATGCTGCTGCAGATTTATCTCTTCTACAATCACACGAGGTCCTTTGATAATCTATTTTAAACTTGCAAAAATTTTCTACTTTGAATATTTGCAACAGGAGTTTCTAAAGCTGATCCCGAGGCCATTCTTTTCATTAAAATGCACGCTTACTACTTAACTAGTCATTGAGATAATTAGTTCATGTCCAAGTCACCCAGACCTTTTTCCCATTATGAATCACAGCATCATATGAACCCTACAGGATAAATCTTATATTACTAAAAGTCAATGCTATCTAAGTTCTTCCCAATAAGAAACACGTTTTGCTCAACCACCACAAATAAACAATATAAGCAGCAGTAGCACATAGCAGACAATAACTTCCTATAAATCCAATACTTGAAATCTGCCATAGGAGTACATGCCACCCGCAAGAACCAAGAAATTACCTCGAAACTCGGACTAGAAGGTATAACATAAAATCTTCATCACTTAATAATAAACAATTAAACATAATTATAAGAACACAACCACTAATAAAGTAACTTTGGAGAACACAACCACTAATAAAGTAACAAGAGGTGTGACATTATAATGTATTGAGATGCAACAGAAAAAAAAATGATGATTACCACTTACCTAGAACCAATTGCATTTGCAGAAGATGCCTGCCCTGAAGGAAGGGGGTAGTAACTTCCATCAAGAGCAATGCAGGGATAAGATGCTCCTAAAGCTCCAGCAGCACCTGCCAATACCGGGACCCTACATAACACAAAGTCCACGTTCAGGCTTCATTGTTACACGGTGACAAAAAGGAGAGAAAAATAAATCTTATCATAACCAGACAGCAATATACGCTCACACCTTATTCACAAAACTTACAAGTCTAGGTCTGGTACATCACAAGAATAAAGAAATCACATAACGAAATACTTTATCCTTCTAAATAGCACTATGAGATATAGACTATGTTCTCAAAATAGCAAAATTGCGCAATAAGCCATCAAACAGTGCAGTGCATGAGTGCAGTGCATGCACCGTTGTATCAAGATATAGGATACCAGCTTCAAGAAAAAACAAGCAATGTGCTTAAACTTCAGAGGAAAAAAAACCATGCACAGTTATGATCAATCTAGCAGAGAAAAACAAATTTCATGTTAGGCTTAGCGTCTTGCACTCAACAATACCCCACAAAAAGAGAAATTAGCCACAAGCAAATTATCAGGTATAGCACGAAAAGCAATCACTGGCTTACATACCAAGTCATTTCAGAATTCCCAAAACCAAGTTGTGGTTGGGCCATATATCCTGGAAGTGCCATACCAACAGTAGGAATCCCATTATGATGCTGACCCGCAAATTGCATAACTGCAAATGAGTTAAAATCATATAATTAGAATGGAAGCCATGAATACATTATTTAGTAAAACTTCTAAGTTATAATTATCAAAGAAAGAGGCAAAGTATGAAAGATATTTTCAATCAACTGCAATTTACAATTATGATAATTTTTCATAACATGGACTGCACACGTGAAATTAGCTGGCTCTTCCTGGGAAAAAAACTTGCAGAAAATAAATACCAAGTTAATGAAAGATTCAAAAGTATCCATTCGCTAGTTTAATAATTTTGGGTATATCATTTAACTCTAAATATGACTCCACAGGATGTAGAAATGAACAGGAATAAACCTGGCAATAGTGCTGGAGTCCCAGGAAAGTTCTGATCACTTTGGCTAAGACCTGTAGCCCCAGATGTGCCAATAACCTGAGCTCCATTGTACAGAAAAGAACCCTTTTCAGCTCTATAGGTACCAGGTTTTCCTTTTGGAATCAATTGCGTCTTAGAATTATTCAAGCCTGGAGGTGAACATGTCTCTCCAACTTCAGATGAATTCATAGTTAAAGCATGAGGAGGTGAAGCTTGATTTCTGCTGGCAGGAACTATACGCTGTGAAGAACCACGCACAGCAGGTTGAAATTGACTTTGTGGCTTTTGTTGAGTAATTGGGGCCTGGATTTGTTGAGGAACTCTAGAGACTTGGCTAACTGGAGCAGTCGATTTATATGACTGTGAAGTAATGCTTAGACTTCTGCCTTGAACCCTGGATTGAGAAGAGAGAGTCGTATTTGCAGATGTTAAAGTAGATCCTGAGGAATGCATTTGTGCACTGACCAAGGCTTTTTCTCTCAACATTGAACCAGATTGCAATGATAGATAATTATTCTCCATATTCATAGGAGATGAAATTATATTGCTTGCTTTTCCAATTTGGGCGTCCATTTTTTCAGTAACGGACATGCCCTGCTTGGATGAGCTAGAGGGGTAGAATGGGGGAGAAGCATAGTTTAAATTTGAGGCAAAATCCTTCTTTGGAAGAGCTGCATCATGTTGCATGTTTGAAGTTTGTGACAATGGTCTACTAGCACCAGTACTTGATTGTGACTCTTGAGATCTTGCAGGCCTGCAGTAGAAATGAAACCTTAAATTAAAAAAAATGATAAAATTCTCAGCATTCAAGTAAGAGAGGGATAAATCTGAAGCAAGGAGCACAGGAGATGACTTACTGCACACGACGGGATACAGAACCTTCATTGTTCCTAGAAATAGCTTCATAACGTCTTGGTCCCCTTCCTCTCACAGACTTCTGAGGACGGTTTTGGTTGTTGCTGTCACGATCTTGGTTGTTACTGTCACGGTTTTGATTTTTACTGTCACGGTTTTGGCTGTTACGGTCATGGGTTTGGTTGTTAATTTCATCATAATAAGCCCGAGGCCTATTATTTCCTTTAACAAAACCACGACCAGCACCCTGGTTATTCCCACCACCACGACCTCTGAAACGACCTCTGGAATTTCGCCTGCCCTGGACAAATTAGAAAAGTATTCAATTGGTAGGAAAGATAGAACTGAAAGAAACAGTATGAAAGTGTTACTGTCAGGGACGACGTCAACAACAAGAAAAACAATAAGAATATACACAAGAATTATAGCCGTGCTCGCACGGTTTGATTTGGTTTCTATGAAAATTAAATTGTACCGAATATTTTTCTTTGGACGATTGCTCCTCCTTCACAATTAGATAACTTAAGCTGGAGTTTTTTTTTTTTTTTTTACTTGTAAGGGGTTGTGTTTGGTTTATCAAAAAAAAAAGCTTGAAACATATTTCATAACTTGAAACCCATTTCGGAGGTTTTAGGGCTAAAACGGTTATCATGAAAAACTGGCGCGGCGGAGATATTCAAGACCTCTTTCACATAAATTATCAACTATCAAACATAGGAAATATAAACCTCTTTGGTCTTGAGATTTCCAAATGTGATGTGGCAAGCATATAAACCAATTCTCATTTGTAGTTCAATTTATTGTTCCACTCATAGAATAACAAATCCAGATTTTCTTTATATATGATGTCTCTATAAAAAGTAAAATACAGGTAAATTTCACTAAACCCCAATAAGTTTGGATGTTTAACACTACACTCCTAATTCCTTTGAAACTATCACTAGAAACCCCCAAAAATCTTTGGTAGAAAGTTTCTAATTAAGATTGCCAGTTAATGTGTGGTCAAAGGACCAAAATACCCCAATAAAATTTGGAAGAAAACACCTAATAAGTTTTTAGTTTTATCACTTAACTCCCAGTAACTTTAGGTAGAGAATCCCTAATAACGATTTTTTTTTATTTTCAGGTTTTATATGATTTTCAGATTTTTTTAGGAGGTTATTTCTAGTTGTCAAATTTTGAAAGGGGCTGTTAGTAATTTTCAGTTTTTTGCAATGAGCTATTTGTAATATTCTAATTCTTGGGGTAGTTGCTTGTGTTTTTTTAATTTTTTAGATCTTTTTGCCTTTTTTATATTTTCATAGGCATTTTTGTGATTTTAGATTTTTTAGGAGATTGTTTATAATTTTTATATTTTTTAAGAGATTTATTTATTGTTTTTGGAGTTTTCAAGGGGTTGTCTATAATTTGTAGAAATTGAAGCTGGTGGTTAGTAATTTATAGAATTTTAGAGTTTTTTTTGTCATTTTTAGAATTGAAAGGGATTTTTATAATTTCCAGACTTTTCAAGGGGTCATTTGTAGTTTCATATTTTTCAGAGAGCTATCTATAATTTTCTATTTCTAGGAGTTGTTTGTAATTTTATGGGTTTAATGTGGAAATAGGAATTATTCGAGAGGTACATATCGACCTTGACGAATAATGTTTGGCAGTGTCTGTAAAAAATCGAAATGTTTTGGTGAAAACTATCTTTAAAAATGATGCATTATGTGATTTTTTTTTAATATCTTTTGTTAGAAGAACTTATTAGATTTTTTAAAAATGATGCATTATGTGACTTTTTTTAAATATCTTTTGTTACAAGAACTTATTAGATTTTTAAAAAATGATGCATTAAGAAAATATAATAAGTTCTCTTCTAATTATCACTAGAAAGATAAATGTTTAGTGAAAATTATCTTAAAAAAAAATCAAGAAGAGCCCTATGACAATTTTTTAAAATATAAGGCTAATAATAAACCACTAATCTTTTCCTTTTATATAGAGAGAAGAGAATTAAAAATATGATTATTAGATTTTCTTTAATTACGGATAATTAAGAAAATTAAAAATATAATTAGTAGCTTTTTTTAACTTACTAAAACTATGGCTATAATCAAAAATTTCTAATTATAGATAGATCTAATTTGATGAGAATTCTAATTATGAATAGATTTAATTTGGTGAGAATTCTATTTATGGATAGAAAGTAAACCCATCATATAAGAATTCTAATTTAACACTAAAATAACATATGACACATGGCATTATTTTGTGCGCTTATGTGACGTTATTTTGTGCCTTTAGAAGTTTCACCAATTTCTCATTATATATAAGTGAGGGATAAAAGCAGATGATATGAAGTAGCAAGAGAAAAGATGAGTTACTAGCTCACCCGATCATACTGAGCATCTTGCAATTTCATCTCTTCAAACCTATCATGTACCCAAGCACGGTTATCTTTAGTTTCCCATAGCCTCCGCCCACCAGGCATGCGCCTGAGACAGATGAAAGACGAAAAAATAACCATCAGAAATTTAGAATCTGTATTAAACTTATGGTATATTTATGCCTGTTTGTAAGCCAATTCAATCTCCGAGCAAAAGTTTTTACAATAATTAACAGACATGAGTCATAAACCAACAAGTTAAAAAAAAACAGTATTATTTGTGAACCTTCTTAAAACCTAGAGAATACCTATAAAAGTAATTGAAACATACTTAATGTTGTAAGGTTTTTCGAACACATAATGAAGAAAGGGCCTTGCAAATCAAAGGTGATGTTGTATACGAGCAGCATACTAACAAAACTATAGATTTTCTATGATATGAAAGAAAAGACAGTAGCAAAACCATTATTAACTAAGAAATATGTTAAACAACATATGTATATCTTCAAGAAATTTGGATCTTCTCCACTATCAAAAAACGTAGTGGAGACTACTACTTTTATCACAACCGACTTCTTTAGTGTGTGATTATGATTTTTCTTTTAGTGTAAAATAGGAATGACTGCAATTCATGGGGGTATGATGACTACTACATTTAGAATGAATCACAACCACTCACTAGACAAATCAATGATTCAACAGCTGTGGTAGAAGTAGTGGTCACTCTACTACCTTTTGGTAGTGGAAAGGATCCAAATCCATCTTCAAGCTACATGTTAAAAAATGTTTGTGTGACATACAACAGATAATAACGATATGTTTGCATTCATGAGCATCAAGGCATTGCCACAAAGAAAAAGACAATGAAGCATCAAGGCATAATTTACTGCAATAATTTCACATGTGGTATATATTGTTTCAGTACGCACGAATATTTAAAAATATTGCAGTTCTCCTGTGCTATTTCAGATTGGTTTAAAAAGAGGAACTTTCTTTCGCCACATGAATGCTACAAAAATGACATCAGTCCAATGTTCAGCAATGCCCATACACCAAACTGTTAAAAAAAAGCTATCTTATTTAACACTATTACCAAAGAGATCAAGAAACAAAAGCCTTAGTCAATCACCTGTTTTGTCCCCGTCCCCGTCCCCGCCCTTTTTCTTGGAACCTGTCGTCGTGCATGTAAAACGCCCCGGCGGTCGGCACCGCATACGGCTCGTTCTCCTTCTTTCCCTTTTCTTCTCCTTCTTTTTCTTGCCCGTCCTCCTCTTCCTTTCTTCTAGAACCTTCTAGATCCTTCTCAACTTCTTCTTCCGCCACAATCTCGTCCGCTTCCTCAATCTCCTCCTCATACTCTTCGTCATAATCCTCCTGCTCCTCCTCATCCTCGTACCCCGGTGCCGCTCCCTGATCGTCAGATTCCCCATCAGATCCGATCTCCGCCGTCCGACCTCTCCTACCACCGCCGTCCTCCTCTTCGTCATCGCTCGCCTCCCTCCGCCTCATCGCCGACAGCGCGATCGCGTCCTCGGGGTCGCTCTCGTACTCATCTGCCTCCACTTCCTTCCCCTCGACCACCATGGCCGTGATTCCACAATTCCTGACCCTAATTGAAGAATCTAGGGTTTTGATGGGTTAGGGTTTTGGTTGATTCGATACTTGGAGAGAGAGATTGGGATCAAGATCAAAGCGATGCGATTGGCGAGAAAAAGGAAAAAGAGGAATATCGTCTTCTCTGCGGCGGCGGATGAAGGAATCTATCTCACCTCGTTTCCGAAGCGGTTGGTGAGTTTTGGGCGAATGAAGGAATATCCTCAACTTCAGCCTTGTTTTATGAGCCTGATGGATTTTGACTACGATGTGACTATGAATCGTTCATTGTATGGGAGCCTTACACGTCAGCAAAATAATGTAGATGGGGTCGATGTTGGGAGAGGTGGAATGAAGGTGGGTTTCGTCTTTCGATGTGGGATTTGGTCGCGGGCGTAAGGTTTCGCAAATCTAACGATTTGGCGTTCGACTGCACGTGGATTATTGGAGATTTTGTTTTTGAGGTAAATTTTTCTAGATATGAACTTAATATGAAATATACATAGACTTTAATATATCTAAATGTTTTTCATAAAAAATTATGTCAAGGCCCCGAAACTAAAAAAATCATGTGCCCAACTCTCCCTATTATTTTTTGTGTATTGGCCCCAAATACAATAAGTTTTTGTGATTCGGCTCTTATTTACACTGCCTAAGAAAAAATTCAAAAAAATTGTGTCAATGCCCCAAAATCAATATCATCATATGCTGCAGCCCCTGCACTTTTTTGCATGCGGTTCAACCCTAAAAAGTATCAGATTATGTATCGCAGCCCTCTTTTAGCAATTATTACCCGCCAACTAAGCATAAAGAGAGAATAAAAAACACAAAATCCCAAAATGTTCTTATCTACTCTATTCTTTCATGTTAGGTCTATTTTAGAGTTCATGTTAGGTCTAATTTCATGTTAGGTCTCTTTAGAGTTCATATTAGGTCTAATTCGGTTTCATGTTAGGTCTAATTTAATTTTTTTTAAGTCTAATTAAAATCATGTTATGTCTAATTCAACTTGTTATAAGTCTAACTAAATTCATGTTAAGTCTAATTTAACTTGGTTTAAGTCTAATTTCTTATTAAATCCAATTTAATTCATATTAAGTCTAATTTAATTCCTTTTAAGTCTAATTTAAATCATGTTATGTCTAATTCAACTTGATCCAAGTCTAATTGAATTGGACTTAACATGAAATTAGACTTAAAAAGGTTAAATTAGACTTAACATGATTTAAATTAGACTTAAAAAAGTTGAATTAGACTTAACATGATTTAAATTAGATTTTAAAAGAATTTACCATGATTGAAATTAGACTTAACATGATTTAAATTAGACTTGAAAGGGTATATAAGTCTAATTTCATGTTAAGTCCAATTAAATTAGACTTAGAATAAGTTGAATTAGACATAACATGATTAAATTAAACTTAATATAAATTAAATTAGGTTTAACATGAAATTAGACTTAAAACAAGTTGAATTAGACTTAACATGATTTAAATTAGACTTAAAACAAGTTGAATTAGACTTAACATGATTTAAATTAGACTTAAAACAAGTTGAATTAGACTTAACATGATTTAAATTAGACTTAAAACAAGTTGAATTAGACTTAACATGATTTAAATTAGACTTAAAAGGAATTAAATTAGACATAATATAAAATAAATTAGACCTAACATGCACTCTAAATAGACCTAACATGAAACGAATTAGACCTAACATGAACACAAATAGACCTAACATGAAATGAATTAGACCTAACATGAACTCTAAATAGACCTAACATGAAACTGAATTAGACCTAACAGGTTAGGACTCTAAATTAGACCTAACATGGAATTTAACATATGATTGAAATTATACTTAACATGATTTAAATTAGACTTAAAAGGGTATATAAGTTTAGTTTCATGTTAAGTCCAATTAAATTAGACTTTAAAAATGTTGAATTAGACTTAAAAGGAATTTAACATGATTTAAAGGCTTAAAAGGGTATATAAGTCTAATTTCGTGTTAAATCCAATTAAATTACACCTAGAACAAGTTGAACTAGACATAAAATAATTTATATTAGACTTAAAAGGAATTAAATTAAACTTAATATGAATTAAATTGGATTTAATATAAAATTGGACTTAAAACAAGTTGAAGTAGACTTAACATGAATTAAATTAGACTTAAAACAAGTTGAATTGGACATAACATGATTTAAATTAGACTTAAAAGGAATTAAATTAGACCTAATATGAAACCGAATTAGACCTAACATGAACTCTAAATAGATCTAACATGTTAGGTCTAATTTCATGTTAGGTCTATTTAGAGTTCATGTTAGGGCTAATTCAGTTTCATGTTACGTCTACTTAGAGTTCATGTTAGGTCTATTTCGTTTCATGTTAGGTCTATTTAGAGTTCATGTTAGGTCTAATTTAATTCATTTTAAGTCTAATTTAAAATCATGTTGTGTCTAATTCAACTTTTTTTAAGTCTAATTTAATTCATGTTAAGTCTAATTCAACTTGTTTTAAGTCTAATTTCATGTTAAATCCAATCTAATTCATATTAAGTCTAATTTAATTCATTTTAAGTCTAATTTAAATCATATTATGTCTAATTCAACTTGTTCTAAGTCTAATTGAATTGGACTTAACATAAAATTAGACTTTAAAAAAGTTGAATTAGGCTTAACATAATTCAAATTAGACTTAAAAGGAATTTAACATGATTAAAATTAGACTTACATGATTTAAATTAGACTTAAAATGGTATATAAGTTAAATTTCATGTTAAGTTCAATTAAATTAGACTTATAACAATTTGAATTAGACATAACATAATCTAAATTAGAATTAAAAGGAATTAAATTAGACTTAATATAAATTAAATTGGATTTTAACATAAAATTAGGCTTAAAACAAGTTGAATTAGGTTTAACATGAATTAAATTAGACTTAAAACAAGTTAAATTAGACATAACATGATTTAAATTAAACTTAAAATGAATTAAATTAGACCTAACATGAAACCAAATTAAACCTAACGTGAACTCTAAATAGACCTAACAAAAACTGAATTAGACCTAACATGAACTCTAAATAGACCTAACATGAAATTAGATCTAACATATACTTTAAATAGACCTAACATGAAAGAATAGAGTAGATAAGGGTATTTTGGATTTTTATACTTTTTATCCTCTCTCTATGCTTAGTTGGCGGGTAATAATTGCTAAAAGAATGTTATAGCACATGATGTGATACTTTTTGGGGCTAAACCACATGAGAACAAAGTGAAGGGGCTGAAGCACATGATGATACTGCTTTTGGGGCCTTGACACAATTTTCCCAAAAAATTTTAAAAAAAATTCTTCTTCTCTGCCTATCTTTTTTCTCATGGTGACCGTAACTGCTTCTCCCTCCTCTCATCCTCTTCTCCTGCTCTCCCCTACGTAACCTTCCTCCTCTCACCGTCTTACTCCTCTTCCCCTTCAACCCCGCTATCTTCCTCTCCCGCCTCCTCATTCACCACCACTGACCTCTAATGCACCTTTCGACCCCATCATATCTCTCTCTCATCTCCCTCTCTTGCTAACATGAAAGGAGGTGCTTTTGTCCACTTTTCTGCCTCAATCGACCCTTTCCTGGTCCGTGATTGCTTCTTCATCGGTGACATCAAACAACGCTTCCTAAACCATAACACCAGACTCATCTATCGCTGACGGCATCACCTACATCCTCTCCCTCTCTCTGCTCCGCTTCTATCTTCTTCTTCAGTAACCGAAAGCCCAGCATTGACATCCACATATGTCGACGAGATCGACAGGGTCTATAATAAAATCTGGTAGCATTTTTGAGTTTAATCCCAAGTTATACTTTTCTTGTTACAAATTTGGTTTTGATGAGTTATAATTGTGTTCTTTTGGAGCCACACATAATGTATTTGTTGTTTTGCTTCAATCAGAGAACTTGGCATATGTTGAATTTAATGGTTAAAATATAGATTAATCTCAATATGAAAATCATCAAATTGTTTATATCTATATAAATGAAACAAAATTGAAGTAGAACTCAATTGATATGATTGTACAGTAACCTCATTTTGTTACATTTTGGGTCGTTATATCCAGTAAATGTTAACTTTAGCCAGTACCTGTTAACTATTTTTCACTATCTATTAATTTTAGCGAGTACCTATCAACTATATTTGATATTTGTTAACTTTAACTAGTACATATTAACTATATTCAATACATATTAACTTAAGTTATTACCTATTAACTGTATCCAGCATTTGTTAACTTTAACCAACACCTTTTAACGATACCTAATACATATTAACTTTAGCCAGTACCTGTTAACTATATTTAGTACATGTTATATTTTTATATATAGTCATGTTAGCTCTAAAACTTGTTTGCTTATTAATTAGCAGGTGATGAGAAATTATTCAATATATGAATTATAAGTTACTTTTTGCAGGTACAAGTTACAATTAACAGTTATATGTGACATTTAACTAGAACAGTTTATAGTTAACATGTACCTATTTTAGTTAATATATACATGTGATAGTTAAGAAGAACCAATTATAATTAACAGGTGCATAGTATAGTTAACAATTATTTGTGGTACGTAACAGGAACAGGTTATTTGGAGTATATCTCCTCTCCGAGCTCGTCGTCATCCTCAACTTTGTTTTATGAGTAGTATATTATGATATGTGATGGTTTCGAGGTTGCTTGTAAAGCATTTGATGAAATGCCAAAGAGAGATGTGCGAGGTCTCTACAAGTTTAAAGCTTTGATTTGAAATAAAGTTCAGTTTTGTAATACACAACTGTGCTAAATTAGGATTTTGGGGCCCGTGCTAATGCTATGCTAGTTATATTGTTATTTAAATGCAAAGGAGAGTACAGAAGTTCTGATTTTATAATTGTATTCAATTAGACAATCTAATCTTTACTTTACCCAAATAAAAATGAGAAAAAAATACCGTAAAGCAAAAATAAAGATGAGAAAGTATTACTAACACTTACTTTGACTCCAAGTAGTAGCAGTGTACTGCAATCCTTGCATGCAACAAGCTCGTTAAGATAGATAGTGCTCCTTTAAGCTGCCTCATGACTTCTGCAATAACTTGTTAAGCTTATCAATTACATGTTAAGTTTATCCCTTTAATATTATGTTTACCAATTATATATTAACTATATCCGATATCTGTTACTTTTAGTCAATACATGTTAACTATATCTAGTACATGTTAACTTTAGGGAAGACCTATTAACCATATTCACTACTTGTTAACTTTAGCTAGTAGCTATTAACTATATATATGATATTTGGTAACTTTAAGTGGTACCTGTTAACTATAGTCGATACCTATTAACTTGAGTCAGTACCTGTTAACTATACCCAGTAGCTACTAACTTAGTCGTTACCTGTTAAGTACATCCAATAAATATTTTAATATATGGTCACATTAGCTCTAATATAGTCAAATCTTTTAACAACTAAAATGCTTATACTTAACAACTAAAATGATTGTAATTTCATCAGATTGACTGTGGATTTGGGATTGCAGTGACAAATTACGGTGGGGTTATGAAGTTGTAGAGAGCATATCTCGCTGAAGCAATCTTAAGAGTGAAGCAAACAAATCAAACTCCGCCATTTTTGCCCTAAAAAACAAACTTACTATTGTTCACTCTCCAACACACGTACTTAAATTGAAGAAATCCACACTAATTTTGCTATAAAAGCTAAGCTTTTAGGGTCTTTTCATGAAAAGGGCAGAGTGAAGAGAACAATGGAGGCGGGGATAAAAATGAGGAAAGAGGAGGAGAGTAGGAGAATAACCTTAAAGATTTTCTTGTTGAGAAGTAATAAAAGATGTTAGCGGCAGGAGACGATGTAGGAGGTAGTGGCAACATGAGATGACATAGGAGGCGACGATGATGAGGAAGAAGAGTGAGAGGAGAGGCCGACGATGATGGAGGGGGAGGTAGGAGAGGGAGATGACGGAATCAGAGGGAAAGATGAAGAGGGAGAGAAGGAGGGTTAATGTTAGAGTTAGGAGAGAGTAGGATGATATGAGAGAGGACCAAAATGAATGTTAGGGTTAGGAGAAAGGAGGAGAGGAGAGAGGAACAACAACAGCATAATGGGTTAAGAGAGAGGAGGAGATGATGGTGATTTCTAATGGGTAAAGAAATTAAAAAAGACGGGTAAAATGGGTAACTCGGGTAAAATACAATTTTAGGGGTCAATACAGAATAGAAATAATTAGGGGGGCTGGGGCACATGAAATTTTTATTTTTAGGCATTATCACAAATTTCCAAAATTATATATAAGTTTTAATTTAGATTTTAATTTGAAATTTCTTATTGTTAGATAAGACTAGATGTGATGTACAAAAACTAAATGAATATATACTATGAGTTTTATTGTTTTATTCAAAGAAAAAATGGATCATCTAAACAAAGCCAGCTGTGCCATTGTATTGGCACCTCTGCTAATATGCTCGATCCCCACAGCGTCGAATTTTGCTAGCAGTGTAATGGCCTACCTCCCTCCACTTTTTTGCTTTCTCTACCAGTGCTTTTTCCCCCTCTTCTATTGGGACGATCAGATCTTGTTACATATGTAAATTAATGTGATAATCACATATGTATTGTCAATTTTTGTTAACTACTTAAGTACATGATTTATTAAAATCATGCGATTTCTTTCTTGCAAATCTGATGTTTGTTTTTTCATGTTTTGGTAGAAAGGAAAGTAACGTAGAGGGAGAAACAAAAATCTTAAGTCTTTAGAAGAGAGACTTTAGAACGGGAAGGTAGAGTAAAGAGAAGCCAACTATAGTAGGGAAAATTTTTAAATAGACTAAAAATGATGAGAGAGAAGAACCCATCTAAATTGGAGGGATTCAAGAAGAGAGAAAAGATATACGGCAAATTAATGTGTTTCCTCTCTCCTCCCTTCCTACCAAACAAGAAATTACGTGTATATACTGCATTGCACCTCTTCTTCCCTTAACTTCACTATTTGTACCTCTTACCAAACCATGTAGCACAATTGTGTATTTCGAAGGTCTTAGAGCGCATGATTTTGCAATGAGTAATATTGCAAAATTTTGATCATTTTTGCATCAGCCATTTGGTTTTTTTAGTAATCAAGAACTACCATCAGGAAAAGAATTTTTTTTTCATATTGACATTATGTCCAAGGCATCATCACTTTTAATTTTGTTTCAGTATTATTTCATATTGAAATTGTATATATGTGTGGTGCATAATAGAGACATGAATGATGGTTTTACCTATTATAATTTTGTATCATTACCGGAAGAGAACACTCCTTTTGAAAAATCGATAAGGAAAATATTGATTCGGAGTTTGTTATTAATTTCTAAACTGCTATAAAATTTGAACGACAAAGTGGCAGAGAGAAAAAACAGAAATAAAATTAAATACGAGGGAACATGATGAGTTGTTTATATTCTTTTATTTTTTAAATAATATTTTCCCCTTTATTTATAAAGTAATCAACATTCTTTTAGAAACAATTAATATAATATATATATATATATATAATAGTATTATATATATATATATATATATATAGTATATATTATATATATATATATATTATATATATATATATAATATATATATAATATATATATATATATATAAATATATATATATATATCAAATTATATTTTACTAAAAATTTTCTTTTATCCTTCTTACTATCTATCTTTTACTTCAACTTTGGCTATCATTCTTGCATGTTGACACCTAATCTAGTTAAATACCTAATTTTGAAGTGTTTTTCAGATATTTATCACTTAGAAGTTAAATCTTCGGTAATTTGATAATAACTCCTCAAACTAGTAATAGACCACTAAACTCATGTAACTACTTGATAATTGGTCCTCCTTATAGATTATATGAGACCCGAGGAGAATATTTTGTCAATCTAACTTTTGCAATAAAATTCTAGTCTATCTCCTAGTTATATTTAAGGGGTTTTTCTTCTTCTAGAAACCACCTTAAAAATAGAGTCATTTTATAGAAGCACTTTTTATTTTTTATTTATACATAAATCATCTTTAAAATATGTTTTTGTTCTAAACAACAACTTTCTCACCAAATCTTTACTATAAAATAAAAAAACAACCTTAAAAGAAATACATGTTTAAGGTATGTGATTTGTATCCTAACTAGGTCTAGACATTAGCAAAATGGTCACATGTCTTGAATATGAGCTTTTAGTGTGTTTTCGGGTTTTTGGTGAATTTTTTTATTGTGAGTGGTTGATTGGAATAAAATCACATTTTAAAGGTAATTTACGGATAAATTGAAAATAAAATGCGTTTTATCTATGAATGACCATATTTGGTGGCTTGTACAAAAAGATACTATATTTAATCAACCTTTTTATTTTGAGTTTAAATGCACAACTTAAACTAAAAACTCTAATCCATGTTACTCATCTTCTTGTACGATAAAGGAATGCACCAAAAATTTTGGGTTGGGGGGTGGGTGGGGGGGATGCGGGGATGCGATAACCGTTCTAGAGGCCCATCAATAACTCCATTGATTTGTGAGACTCATAAAAAATCATACGGGCGTTATTATCATCTAATTGCTAATAGATCTCTTTGTAGTTCTATTTTCTAAAAGAATAAACTTCCTGTGGTATCGGCGCAAGTGCAAAACACCCCCTTAGTGAACTTTTCCGACTCTTTTTTAGAAGTAAAAAAATAGCAATGAGTGGTCTATCCTTAGAACTACAAGCAATCTATTCGTCCCCTTAAATCTTTTTAACAATTCTAAGAGTGACAAAAAAATCAACTCAGGGTTCTATTTGCACAGATAGATCTACAATAGGTCTATTTCGCAATTGGCTACAGGGGGTTTATTCACAATTAACCCCATTTAAAACGACAAGTTATTACAATGAAACCAACTCTATTATTTATTTATAAAATTTTGTATGTCTATTTGCAAAAACTGTCCAATTTTAGCTATATTAGCATCGTGCACAAAGTTGATCCATTTTTAACAGAATCTAATGTTTGTAATACACGGGATTTCCGATCCCTCGTCATGAGCAAATTGTTCTGTTTTGTATATAACTTTATTTTCCAATAGAAAAAAACTTTATTTCAGAAATTCTTATCTTT